CAGAGCCAGATTATGAAGGGCTTTAAATGTCAAATAGGAGAGTTTGTATTTGATCCTAGAATGCAACAATGAGCCAATGAAGCTTCTTGAGCATAAGAATGATAGTCACAAACGTGTATGTTTTTATATGATATATTTTCCTTACTTGCCTGCCTTCTGAGTATCAAGGTAGGCATAATAAGAAAGATGTTTCTCTCTTAAATCATTCAGAAATATGAGACCCTACACTGAATGGAATGCCCTAGGAATGTCCCATTCTAAGATTCTCAGTTATAGATCAGGTGCTGTTATGCATTGGTAGATAGGAATTGCCTACACCAATACAATTACAGATACAGACATAAAATAAAGACATTGCTTAATCAGAATTAAAGAATTCTAATCATGCAAGGTGTAGTGTCTGGAGCTGTGAACAGAGATATGCTAGCATATCTCTTCATTTCTCAGCAGAATTGCTGCATTGAAACTGCCTTGGTTTCTCCTGTTCTTCTCCCACTCTGCTTTCTTTTCTTCCATTGTACATACCTTTTTTGCCCCTAACTATGGGTATATTTCCAAACCTTAGTCCCTGGGCCATTGCGCTCCTTTCTTCTTCAGTTCATTTATTCATTCCTTTAGCTACAACTCTCAACTCTATGCTTATGCCATCCAAATCCTGATATCCAGTCTGACCCAAGCTCCAGTCCTATTTTCTATCATCCAAATAAAGGGTTAATAGACATTGCCACCTGGTTCACTCACTGGCACCTATTCTGAAAACAACATGACTAAAACCAAGCTAAGTTCTCTTTCTTCTCTGAGTTTTAAGAACCTTAGAAATCACTTAGTTCAATCCCCTTTTATTATGAAAGAGGAAATTGAGTTCAGAAAGGTTAAAATTTGCCCACAGACACAGATCCAGTCAGTGGCAAGAAATGAGAAAAAACTCAGGTTTGCTGATGCCTAGTCTAATACTCTTTCTATATTTATAAAACCAGTCTTTTTTTTGGGGGGGGGTTGGGGTGAGGCAATTGGGGTTAAGTAACTTGCCCAGGGTCACACAGCTAGTAAGTGTCAGGTGTCTGGTCTGAGGCCAGATTTGAACTCAGGTCCTCCTTACTCCAGGCCCCATGCTCTGTCCACTGCACCACCTAGCTGCCCATATAAAACCAGTCTTAAAACACTATAGCAGTGCTAGTAGCAGCTGTTACTATTGTTCCCAAACCATCTTGTTCTTCCCAAACACTCTAAGTCAGTGTGTTCTTTCAGCTTCCCTGTCCATCATTGCCATGTTCTTCCTCTCACCTAAGCCCAAAATTAGGACTGCCTTTTTGAGTCTTTCTTTCACTTCCTATATCCACAGGGTGACCATACTCTTTCCCCCTTTAAAACGTCACACACTTCTAACTTCTTGGGTTCGACTCTCATCACCTTTTACCTTGACTACTGTAGCATTCACCTGAATGGGCTGCTGGACCTTAGATTCTTGTTCTAATCCTTCCTACATGTTACTGACAGACCGACTCTCATTAAATAATTATTTTCATGCTGTTCTTCTATTCACTCTTCAATGGCTCATTAGTCGATTACATTTTCTAAATTCTGCCTAGTTTTCAAGTTCCTGTGTAACATCCTACCCGCTCCAAACTGGTTTCTCCCCTGTTTTCTAGGTTTAATCAGTCCTGTTTCATTATTGTCTTGATTGACAACATGCCATACTTGTTTTGTTCATGAAGCATTTATGTTTTTGTCTTTTTTCTGTTTCTCCATTTATCCTTTTTGGTGTTCCTAGGTGTAGCTCAAATGATCCATGAAAGAAAGCTATCCCCCACCCTAACCACTTTTGCACTTAGTGATCTCACCTTTCTACAAACTTATGTACTATCTAGACCAGAGATGGAGAAACTGCAGCCTCGAGGCCACATGTAGCCCTCTAGGTTTTTAAGTGCAGCCCTTTCACTGAATTCAAACTTCACAGAACAAATCCTCGCCACTGGACAACACTATTTAATTCTTATTACAGCCAATACTTAAGCCTATGCTTAAATTCCATAAATTCCATAAATACCCATGGGTTAATCTTGAATACTATGAAGGGCCAGACTAGTTATACTTTGAACTAATTTACTTCTTTTTTTGTATTTTTCTTTTTAATCTCTAGAAAATAGTGATGGGAGATGCCTCAGAAACTGCCCTCCTAAAGTTCTCAGAAGTCATTATCGGTGATGTGATGGAAAGAAGAAAAAGAAACAGAAAAGTGGCTGAAATCCCTTTTAACTCTATCAACAAATTCCAGGTAGGTTTTTCCTCATGACTAGGGATCTTATTTCTTAGCCCATTGATATTCTCACCTGCAGTTATAAAATGTCTTCACAGGTCTCGAGCCTGGGCTACTTTGGGCTGTTGTTTTCCAGAAGCACAGTAGGGAAAGGAGGGTGAGAAGCTAGGATGTGGGTCTCCCTGAAAAAAAAAATCCATCCCTGGCCACTTTCTTATTTTCTGGTGCCGAGGGATTTGGGGTCTAGGTTTTTGTTGACTTTTTAAAAATATTTCTTTTTTTATTAATTTATTTTGATTTGTCAACAATCACTTCCATAAGTTTTTGAGTTTTTAAGTTTTTCTCCCCCTTCCTCCCACCCCACCTCCCCAAGACAGCACACAATCTGATATAGGCTATACATATATATTCCTATTAAACATATTTTCACATTAGTGATGTTGTAAGAATTAGAACCAATAGGAAGAACCACCAGAGAGAAACAAACTCAACAGAAGAAAAAAAATGCAATAGTATGCTTCGCTCTGCATTCAAATTCCATAGTTCTTTCTTTGGATATGGATAGCATTTTCCATCACGAGGCCTCTGGAGATGTCTTAGATCCTTGTATTGCTGGGAAGGGTTAAGTTTATCAATATTAGTCATCACAACGTAGCTGTTAGCATGTACATAGTTCTCGTGGTTCTCTTCACTTCACTCAGCCTCAGACCATACAAGCCTTTCCACATCTTTCTGAAGTCAGCCTGTTCATCATTTCTTATATCACAATAGTATTCCATTACATTCATATACCACAATATTTTTTTTGCCTTTTTTTTTTTGTGAGGAAATCAGGGTTAAGTGACTTGTGCAGGGTAACACAACTAGTAAGTATCAAGTGTCTAAGGCCGGATTTGAACCCAGGTCCTCCTGACTCCAATGCTGGAGTTTTATCCACTGCACCACCTAGCTGCCCCTTTTTGTTGCCTTTTTGACAATATGTGGGCAAAACAGGAATGTTCTAGATTTCATTTCATTCTATGCAGTTATTCTATGAGCTGGGAATCTGGTTTCTTTTGCCAATATGAATGGAAATCACTCTTCAGAACCCAAAGAGCTGGTAATGTGAGAGAAAAGCCTAGTTAGTGTTAGAAATTCCACTAGTGGCTTTCTTGCTCAGTCTGGAGCAAAGTTGAATTGAGCCTTAAAGTAAAAATCCCCTCACCCACCCTCAGTCCACTCCTAGGTAGCTAGGTGGTGCAGCATATAGAGGACCTGGCCTGGAGTCAGGAATATTCCTCTTCCTGAGTTTAAATCTGGCCTCAGATTTAAATCTGGCCTCACACTAGCTGTGTGACCCTGGGCAAGTCATTTAACCCTATTTGCCTCAGTTCCTCATTTGTAAGATGTGTTGGAGAAGGAAATGCCAAACCACTCCAATATTTTTACCAATATCTTGATTAAATGGACCACTCTAATATCTTACCCCAAATGGGGTCATGAAGAGTCAACTGAAATGACCGAACATCAACATCCCTCCCCTCACACAGACTTATACTTTTTCTCCAACCTCCTAAAATACAGCTTATTAAATGAGGTTTTGATGGTTATCATGGTGGTACCATTCTCCTAGTTCCCTATCCTCAAGAGTACCTATATATGAGATCGTCTTCGTTAATAGTTGTTGACAAGAAAAAGAAAGAGCCCCAGCTAAATGCAACCATACTGAAAACTAATGGAATTTAAGTCTCTGGGGCCCTGAGATTCTTTTTTTCTTTAAATGTCACCTCTCTTGACAGGACATTATTATTTGGTTAATATTTAAGAGGCCCTGGTGGAACATAATAAGACTGATATAAATGTATCAGTGTGCAGGTCATTTCATGGATGAGAAGAAACATGAGGAAAATTTGCTGGTCTCCATTCTCTATACCACCAAGAAACCCTGTCCAGCCCTAGTGTTGAGACTATGGGCCTCCTTCCTGCCCAGTCTCTCTCTAGCCATGAACTGTAATAATAGACTGACACCTGGAAGAGGGGAAGGGATCACAAAAGTAGATGATTCCTGCTGCTACCAAACCTGCAGTAGATGATCCTGACCCGGGCATGACACTCAGTGGAATTTGTGCCACCACCTGAAAGGACCTCTCTTCCTCTTTAGAGAGAAGCACTGCTGCAGTTTGGGTCTCTTGATTTCTCATATGAAAGCCCAGGCTGCAGCTTTAAGTTGGGGCCAAGTTAAGTCTCCTTTTCTAGGGGGAGGCACCAAGAGATCTTGGAGACCACCATGGATTTGAATAGCACATCACAACAGAAGGAACCCTGACTGTGGAAGGAAAAGTTTTACCTCTGCTGTTTACTTCCTGTGTGGCCCAAATGAGGCAAGTTATTTAACCTCGCTGGGCTTCAGGTCTTTCATCTATAAAATGAGGAGCCTGGACCATATGGTCTCTAAGGTCCCTTCCCGCTCTGGCTCCTTGATCCCATCAATAGAAGGGGCTGCAGTGCACACCAAGGGCATCAACATAAAGAGTAAGAGATGACTTTCCTTCTCCTGGTATGTGGCTAGTTGTGGAGGAGCTCTTCAGGCTTCTTAGAAGTGACAGTAATAGTGACATGCCCCATTTAACACATTCACTTCATTCCTTCCTCCCAGCTCTCCATCCATGAGACAGAAGACCCCGATGACATGCACTTCCTCTTGGTGATGAAAGGAGCCCCTGAGAAGATCCTGGAGAAATGCAGCACCATCATGATCCATGGCCAGGAACAGCCTCTCGATGAAAGCACAGCAGAGGCCTTCCAGACTGCATACATGGAGCTGGGGGGCTTAGGGGAGAGAGTGCTGGGTGAGTTGGCCACTACTACTTAAAGGACTCAAGAAAACGGTTATGACAAGTTTATTAAAAGCAGCAGAAGGTGATACCAAGGGAAGGAAAGGAATCAATAGAATATATGTTTCTAAAGGACATTGGAAGGTGTGTGGGGGGAAAGAAAAGCATGCTTAATGCTTAAACATACTCACAAAAATGCTGCAAGGATCCCTGATTTTATTAATGGTCCCCTATTCTCTAATGCAGAAACTATTAATAAATTTATGGATCCTTGAAAGAATGGTCTATGCTTTTTAAATACCTTTTTTTTAAAAATAATTTGGAGCTATTTATTAGCATGGGAGATTCCCAGGAAAGAAACTTCCCATTTTTTTGCCTAACAAAATTTTAATACCTTAGAACCCATGTCCCTGCCCTCTGGTCATAGGGTCCAATGAGAAAAGCTGAGGGTACTGAGATGTACCAGGTAGATCCAGTCTTGCAGCATAATGAGATTTCCCAGTGATGAGCCTGGGGAAGAAAGACATGATAGAAGGTTTTTAAAAATTGTAGCTCCTGGAAAATGAGGTGACTTTTAAACATCAGATCTATTTAACCCAACTAGGGTGGCTTTTAGGAGCTTTCCTACCTGAACTTTCAAGTCCAGGCCTCAGTTTCCTTATGAGTAAAGCTGAGGAGGTTGGACTAGTTGGCATGCATGTAAGATCTTTTTCAGCTTCTGTAACCTCATTTTGACTTTGATTCTAGAATGGCTTTTACAGTATCCTAATTGTTAATCATTATCAAAAGCAGAGGATTCTGTCCTGTCCCTAAGATTCCTTTCCCAAAATATCTACTGCACCTTTTTTCTGTGGAAGATGCAACGAAGGGACTCAAGTTTCCATTCAAGAAAAGAGCTTTGATGTTTCAAAGTGCTTCATGTGTGTCTATTACAGGTTTCTGTCATCTCTATCTGCCAGAAGATGAGTTTCCAGATACCTATTCCTTTGATGTAGAGTCCATGAACTTTCCCACCTCTGACCTCTGCTTTGTAGGGCTGATATCACTGATTGATCCCCCTCGATCCACTGTCCCTGATGCAGTCATGAAATGCCGCAGTGCTGGCATCAAGGTAGAGTTCTTTTTTTCCTACCTCTTGCAGTCTCTCATAGGTGCTAAAGTTCCTTTAAGTAATTTTCATTTTATAATAAAGTTCTCTGTATCAAACCCATGTTCCTTTTCTCTTTTATTTTTGAGAGGTATCACAACTGAGTGGATAGAGAGCTGGCTTTAAAGTCAGGAAGATGTGGGTTCCAGTCTCTTACTGGACAGTCTCAATCTTCCCCTGACACATGCTGGCTAAGAGATCCTATACAGTACAGTGATAACCTCCCACAACTCTCTGAGAGTTGCTGAAAAGGTGCCAGTCTACAATGGTAGAGGGCATTTATTTCTTCATCAATGAAATTACTGGTTCAGCCTCAACCCCTATTTCTTTTTATGTTTATAATGTTAGGTTTTTATTGGTTATTGGAATATTAGTTTATTGGAATTCGGTAGAGAAGTTTCTTCTCAGTATAGTTACTGTTTAATCTAACACCTTAATACTTGATTCTATAGTAGAGACAGCAAAAGGAATGGTTGAATAGAGCACTTGTATGGTTTTCAAAGTTGTTACATATATTATCTTATTTCATCTCACATTTTCTCCATAAGCCATAAAAGGCAAGGGGGAGATAAATAAAAATTATTTTTTAAAATCAATGTTTATTTTCCATACTATGACATAGAACTCTTATTTCCAGCTCCTTCATTTACTAGCTACATGTAGACATCATTTTGGGCAAATCACTTAACCTCCCTGAGCTTCTGTTTCCACATCTTAAAAAAGAAGATAAAGTACTTTGCAAACCTTGAAGTACCATATAAATATAAACTATCATAATTGTGGTTATTGTTATTAATAGAAACAATGGCCTTTTTAGCTATAGCATAGTATATAACCAGTTTATATATATGTAAAGTAGTCATATCTTCTAGCATTTTCCTAATTGTATTTTTCTTTGTGAGCCTTTAAACTAGAATATGTAATTCCACATATATTATAGCATAATATATATAATGTATACATTTTATATGTATGTATGGGTATGCGTATATTATACATATACTTATATATTATGTATTTTATATAAATATATGAGGCTTTTCCACAAATCTTTTTTCTCAGAAGGACAGGAAGAAATTGCACCAAAGAGTAAAGCTTCCCTCCCATGAAGTAGGGAAAGAATCAAGGGATAATGGGGCAAGCAGATATATGGAAAATGTGCTGGTGCCCATTTTTACCAGGGGGAGGAAAAATACACAAAAAGTTACCCCAAAAAGCAATTCTGTCATCAACACTGATTATAACCTACCAGTATACCTACTAGCTCTTGCCTCAGTCAGGAGCAGTCAAGCTCACTTACAATCTCTGCTTTTGCTGTGCCTGCTTCTCATTGGTTGTATTTCTTCCCAATTCAGGTTATCATGGTGACAGGTGATCATCCAGTCACAGCCAAAGCTATTGCCAGAAGTGTGGGCATCATTTCAGCTAACAGTGAGACTGTGGACGACATAGCAAAACGTCTTAATATTCCTGTAGAGCAGGTTAACAAAAGGTAAGAGAAGTAGCCTGACTTTGAAGGTAGGCTTTGCCAGCTTTGTTTCTAAAGAGCTGCAGTGTTTGGGGCTCATCAGTCATTGGCCCATAGCCTTGTAGACTGCTGCTGTTGGATCATTTATTTATATACACAACTGCCATTCCTCTAAAGAGTTTAGGAAAGCCACCAAAAACATAGTATCCTTGATCCAATATTAGGTCTACATTAGAATTTAAAAGGTTAGGGCTGGAAGAGACCTTAGCGACAGATCATCTCATTTAGGGGTTCTTAACCTGAGGTCCAAGAATTTTTAAAAATATTTTTATAGCTAAATTTCAATATAGTTGGTTTCCTTTGGGACCCTATGTATTTTCTTATTCTGAGAAAAAAAAATCATAATGCCCTACTGCTGTGCCAAAGAAGTTAATGATGAAAAATGTTAAGAATCTCTTGTGTAATCCATACCACTATCACCCCATCTTATCAATGGGGAAACTGACCTAATGCCTAGACCGGGAGAAATGAACCCAAGTTCACGCAGGCAGGAATTAACAAAACTAGTATTCGAGCCCAGTTGCTCTTGCTCAGGCTCAGCAGCCCTTTTACTGTGACCATCCTGCCTGATGCCAAAAGGGAAGACCTGGGAAAACTAAAGCAGAGGGGAATTAAGTGAGATCCTTTTCATCCATTCCCATATGAATTTGTGGTGTATTTTATAATATTAAAAGTCTATCTGCTATTTGTCAAATATTTGTTAAATCAGAGTCTTCTGCTCCTCCCTCCAAAATAGAAATCTCTCTACATATTGGCCAAATTAAACTTCCTAAGATGCAGAATTGAGTCATATCAATGGATACTTCAAACTCTCCAGTGGCCTCTAGGTTAAAATACATATCTTCTCCTGGCATTTAAGGTCCTGCACAATCTGTCTCCCACTTCTCTTCCCTTCATGCATGCTACATTCCAGTCAGACTAGCCTGTCAGCTGCTCCTGAACTCATCTCTCTGCCTTTGTATAGGTTGTCTTCCATACCTAAAATGTCCTCCCTTCTCACCTGTGCCTCTTAAGATTCCTAACTTCACTCAAGATTCAGCTCAGGTGCCTCCTTGGGAATCCTTTTTTGGCCTCCCCAATCGTGTTCTCTCCCACCTCTGAAATGACTGTTTGTTCAGATATGGCTTTGTTGCCTCCCTAATAAAATGTAAACTATAAATATATACATATATTTATATTTATTTATGTATAAATAAAATGTAATGTCAGAATCGATTTTGCCTTTGTGTCCCCAGTGCCAAGCATACGCATGCAAAAGGCACTGAATAAACATTTATTTGTTGAATTGAATATAAAATAATACACATAAGGAAGAAACAAGCAAAGGAAATAGTTGTTATCAGCTGGGAGAAGCAGGGAAGGCTTCATTGAAAAGGCAAAATGTTGAGTTGGGTTTTAAAGGACAAACAGGAGTTCAATAGTCAGAGGATGATACTAAGGGAGGGCATTGCAGACACAGGGAACAGTCAGTCATTGCTTCTCACAACCAGCCCTTTTGGGGGTCCCCTCTGCAAGGGGCAGGATTTGGTAGTATTCATTCCAATTGCTCCAAAGTGAGTCCCCAGCTAGCCTCTGCTTCCCCACCTTGAATGGGGATGGCAAAGCCTTTTACTGAGCTAGGCATCTCTATTTTGCAATAGCTTTGGGAACATTAGTGAAGAAGTGAGGGGCTAGTCCCTTTCAGAGTGTTGTTACCTACTGGGCTCCTTTGATCAAGGAGGATCCCTCAGCATTACAGCTGTCCTTTTTCCTTACTGGGTTTTGCTTTGGCCCTTCTAGGGAGGCAAAGGCAGCTGTGGTCAGTGGAGTGGAGCTGAAGGAGATGAGCCCAGAGGAGCTGGATGAGCTCCTGACCTACCACACTGAAATTGTCTTTGCAAGAACATCTCCCCAGCAGAAGCTGATCATTGTGGAGGGCTGTCAGAGACAGGTGAGCCATTGGGGAGGTAGAGGTCAATATGTGCCTGGCATACAGTAGGTGCTTAATAAATGTTTATTGACTGATTGACTGACAGGTACCCAGGTGAGACATCTTTAGACTGTCATTGAGCCTAAGGGGGAGCTTTATGATAACAAAGTTCTTTTCCAAAACATGGCTGCAGTTCCTTCACAAAGCCAAGGAAAAGAAGTGGCTAGTTCTTTCAGGGAAATTCAATTCCACAAGCACTCATTAAGCATTTATTTTATTCTAGGCACTGAGCCAGGTATTGGAAATACAATGACAAAATAACCCTTAAGGAGCTTATATTCTGCTTACATTTGAGTATTTTCAACTAACAAATCATTTTCTCCCCCTCCCTTCACCCCCATAATGGGGGAAAAAAAGACAACGAGAAAAATAAAATCTTTATAAATATGTATCATCAAACAAAGCAGATTCCCTCACTGACCATGTCCAAAAAATGTCTCTTCTAGCCCTTGACTCCATCACCTCTCTGTCAGGAGGTAGTTAGCATGCTTCATCATCAGTCCACTGGAATAGTGGTTGATCATTGTGTTAAGGACATCTTCTAATGTTTGTTTTTACAATGTTATTGTACAAATCATTCAGATTCTGCTTTCTTCACTCTGCCTCAGCTCATAAACATCTTTCCAGAATTCTCTGAAATGTTCCCTTTCATTATTTCTAACAGCACAATACTATATATACCCTTACCTTCATATACCATGGCCTTGGTTAGAATGAAAAGATGGAGACCCATCTAATCATCATTCTTTAATTGTGACTTCTGCTGAGTGAATTAATTTAGCTGGACTTAGCTATGGAGACAACTGAAGACAGAATATGATCCTGTTGTCAGTATTTTGTCAGTTGGAGAGGCCTATCTCTGTCCTGTCATTCGTCTCCATTCATTTAAAAAGGTCTTCTTGGAGGACTTAATACTCTTGTTCTTTACATCACAAGGCAATATGACATTTTCCCAAAAAGGGACTCTAGTATAGCATGTAGTATTTCCTAACTTCCAGAGCAGATGGAGGCTATTATTTTTTATCAATACTGCAAACTTGGCTTAGTGCTTGAAGTTTCTGGAATAAAGTTTTGAATCGCATGTTCTTCTTCCAGGATGCTGTTGTTGCAGTGACAGGGGATGGTGTTAATGATTCTCCAGCCCTAAAGAAGGCCAATATTGGGATTGCTATGGGCTGTGCAGGCTCTGATGCAGCAAAAAATGCAGCAGACATGGTCTTACTAGATGACAACTTTGCCTCTGTAGTGACTGGCATAGAGGAGGGTAAGTAAAGTTCCTTCCAGTGTTCTTACAGAGGGTGAGTTGAGGGCTATTTCTCTGACTACACAATTCTTCTCATAGGTCGCCTAATCTTTGACAATCTGAAGAAAATCATTGCATTCACTCTGACCAAAAACATCGCAGAACTTATCCCTTTCCTTATCTTCATTATTGCTGGGGTTCCTCTGCCCATCGGTACCATGGCCATCTTATTCATCGACTTGGGCACTGATATTGTAAGTAGGTTTCTGGAATACCAGAAATAAAATAAATATAGCAACAGGTGCCATCAACTTTTAGGGCCATTTTTCCAATTTCTGTGTTTCGTTTCTTCTGAAGAGATTTATATAATTTATCAAGACATTGATCTAATAAGAGGTAGAGGTGATATTTAGACCAACTCAGGCTCTCTAAATCCACAACAGACAATTCATGAGTACAGAATAACCAAAGAATAACCAACATTGTTGAGGTCAAAGTATTCGAGTGGCTTTGGAAATTACAAATAAAGGTTAAGTGGATAACAAAAACCAAAACTTAGAGACAAAGGAAGCGAAATAACCCTTGCCAGCCTTTCTTCTCTACAGGTAGTAATATACTGGGTTGCTCACATATTGTGATGTGGTTAGATCTGTATTTTGTGAAACTAACAGCAAGTGGCTCTTGTTGCTTGAAGGCTTGAAAATGTTCTGGCCAGGCTGCTTCTAGAGCCTTCAGATTAATGTAATCTCTATTCTTGTTATCCGAATATTAACCAGCTGTGATCTGGATGCAGAGCCGGGGTAAATGACAGGATTTCATCATCTTTCCCCTCCATAGATTCCTTCCATTGCCTTAGCCTATGAGAAAGCTGAGAGTGACATCATGAGCCGGAAGCCACGCCACAAGAAGGATAGATTGGTGAATCATCAGCTGGCTTTGTACTCCTACCTCCAAATTGGTATGCTGAAATCTAACTGTTCTCACTTTGGTGTCAAAGGCCTTTCCTAAGGCTTTGTTTCCTGAATCATTCAGAAACTGCCCATGCTTTTTTTTTTTGGATGTGGGTGGGAGAGAATTGGAAAGAGACTATCCTGAACTCATCTGTTCCTTCATCTCCTTTGTCCTCTAGGAATCTTGCAATCTGTGGGAGGCTTCTTTGCCTACTTCACTGTCTATGCAGTCCAGGGATTCAAACCTGACAGGCTCCTTTACTTACGGCCATTATGGGAGAATGATAATCTGAACGACCTTGAAGACAGCTATGGACAAGAATGGGTAAGGAAGGTCAAAAGTGTTAGCCCCACTTCTTATCTATTCTCTGTTTATTGACCTGATTGATGCTGAAATGCCATGCTCTATACTGCCCTAAGATAACTATTTAACAGAATCAATGAGTAAAAGAAAACATCAACAAGAAGTCTGCACTGGTCAGTGTACCACATGCTTGGAATACAAATACGATGAATGAAAAAGCATTTATTAGAGATACACTAGAGTCTGTCTCTGCCCTTAAGGATCTTACATTCTTTTTTTTCACATTTTTTGTTTATATTTATTTGGTATTTTATTTTTCTCCAGTTACACGTAAAAACAATTTTTAACATTCATTTTTAAAACTTTGAGCTCCAA